AAAAAAAAGTAATATTAATAATGACAGATTTGAGAATTGATTACAAGAATGTGACTTTAATGAATCTTTCGATGTCGTTGTAACTACGTACCAACTTCCTTTTGAAACTTGTAGATTTTCCCGACCTGCAGATGATAATATTGATAATATTCCGACCGGGAGTTAGCCTTAAAGTACATGTCACTTTCCACCTTCCTCACGAACGCGACGACCAAGTTGTGTATTCTTTTATGAACCATAGATTGTGAATCGGGATTCGGGAATATTGCTTGAATCCTGAGAAAAAAAGCAAACACACATGCTGGGACACGAGTTTCAAATGAGTGCGCGCTATTATGTATAATAAAAGTCTCACTAACAATTGATGAACATGATGGTTCCTGATATCTGGAGTGACGGACAGATGCCACTCCTTTGTTCCTTGCACCGGTATCGCTGTGACTTGACTGGATTGAAGACCGCCTGGAAACTGTAGATCCTGTAATCCATTTGGAATAACCTGTATACCGACAGCGGCCGCTGCGTCAGTGGCTGTAGGTCCGGTCGTTGATACCGTCTGATTGCCAGCTACCCCTACTATACTAGGATCGGAATTCAAAGGAAAAGATACGTTCGGCGTGACTACTTGTTGTCCGGCAAAGGCTACGGATTGTCCTGGTGCAACTAAAACACATGACGCTAATTGCTTGTTGTTTTTCGCGTAAAAATCTAAACAAATCATATTTTATATTTTTAACAGAATAAAAAAATAATATAATAAGATATATTTTTACATATGTATATACATTTTATAAAATGTTTTAAATTTGAGAAAAAATTGCAAAGCAGTTAAAAATGTGCAACTCACTCTGTGTCTGAGATTGCGCTAATCCAACGTTGCCCAATGCCCCTGGAGGACCGCCCATCATGCCGGGAGCTGGCATTCTAACGCCCCTACCAATGTCTTGACCGGGTAAAAGCCCCGGTGTTGTTGTCGGACACTGAATTCCTAAAGCATCATAAGCCCATCTCATTTTGGATGAGCTTGGATTTGGCTGATTATTTGGTTGAATTGCGGGTTCTAATAAAAATAATACATACAACATAAATATACATCGCCGAAATATTAAGATGTAAGATATATATTCTTGCACAATTACCTTGCGCAGAAATTGTCCCGTTCTGTGCTTGTTTTATCGGCAAGCAAATCGGACAATCACTTCGTTTACAATGCTTCCAATGACTGATGATCCGCCTATATATTCTACATTGAGGCACGGTGCAATTCTTTCCGGCTTGACAATTCGTCATGTGATTTAGAATATTTTTCATAGTTTTGCAGTCCGGCAAGGTACATTGTCTCATCTCGACGTTTGCTTGGCTTTCGCGTCGTTGACATTTATCTGCATGCAAAAGCAGCATCAACAATTGCTGGACGAATCTACATTCCTCTGGATCAATTGTCGATTTCGCGCCTAAACGTCCCAGATAAAGTTTGCATTGAGCAAAGATGTTACACAAGTAATACGATTTACAATAGTATAAGATGAACTTACCTGTTGAAGTACCAGTATTAGCCATTTGTCCTTGCGTAGCTTGCTGCGGACCTGGCTGTCCTCCGGTCGGCGTACTCAATTGAGATTGAGCCGGACTTGGTGCTGAGAGTTGTGCCTGTTGTGCTGCTGCTTCACCTTCTTGACTATCCATAATGTTCTTAGTACCAATTGAATCAGCAGTGCAGACAAATCTGCTGGCGGTGCCTCTCGCTTGCATGGGACTCGTATTCGTTCCTATGCCCTTTGATTCAGTTTGACAGCTAGAAAACAATTGGCCCATCGTAATCCCTTGCACAATGCTAGGTAATAACGGTAGCAATGGCGATAACTTTTTCAATCTATCGAAAGCCGTTTGTCAATGCTGTAGCTTTGTCAACAATTTTGTCGTTATTGCTATCGCTATCGTTATCACCTAGCACTGTGTAAGAGACTTTATAGTTTTGAAAGAAAAATGCAGAAAGAAAAAAGTAGTTAATAGATTTTTATAACAAACGTGTAATATATTTTTTTCTATATTGTATTTAAAACGCCCCCCTTGGTGGAAATATATCTTAGAATTTTTTACATCATTAAATCAGTATTTCTATAAAAATTTTCATATTTTCTCAGAATACTCTGAATATTTCAGATTTTTTTATACGAATTATTGGAACGTTTTTCAAGAAAATTCGGACATAATAAAAATAAAATTTTTTTCGCCAATATATTTTGGTAGAAATCTGATTAAATATGAGAAAATCTGTAAAATTTATCAGAAATTTTCATACATACAAATACTGAAATATTCCGAAAATCTTCATCCAATTATTTCGAAAAGTATCTGAGAAATTTTATATATTTTTTCACAACTTTTTATAAGTTCCAATTTTTGCAAAATTTCTGAGAAAATATGAGAAATGTTTTCACCAGGGCCGTTACCCCTAACCTTCTCAGGTTTTTTTTTACACTTCTACTTTACTCTTTCCGTTTGGGGGGACAGGTCGCATATTCTTCGCGCGTTAACTTGCTTTCTTTTAATTACTTACTTATATTATACAGCCTTGGTTGAACTATAACTATATTACTGTGCCTATTTCTCCTAGCAAGATTCACACATGCAACGGTGCAACGTTACTTACCATAACTTACTCCGTGCTCCCGTGTTTGAATTTGAGGTTATATGTGGTTATGAGATATAAGCGAGCAGAGCGAGCGAACATGGAGCATGGAGCGAATAAACATTTGCTGTGCTACCATCTAGTGGGAACAAATCTATCTATATCTTGAAATTAACTTTCCAGCAAGCGGACACAGGTCGACACAAACGTCGTTCTATATTTCTTTTTTCGCAACGAGTAACAAAGACAAAACGACAATTGTGTCACTTGCTTTAAAGCTTCCAACATTTACTTCAAATCAAATGATTGAAATGCACGTAAACTTGTCACGACTTTTATTTCAGCTGCTTCTAAATAAGCTACTTGTTACATATATTAACTTAGTCGCTCTTGTCGAACTGCAACATTTATTGCTTGTATCTGTCAAGCAATAAATTCGTGTAGATTTGCAGAGTAATAATGTTGCTCGAGAATGGAGAGGAAAAATTCTTTCCAAAATAAATAGAATATAAAAGCATCCATATATTATTGGTATACATTGTACATCATGATTCATATTTTATTGATAAATAAGGCCATTAGACAGTGAGCGGTGATACAGTCTGCGTCGTCGATGTCGCAATACCATCGTCATTAAGTGTGGAAGCTGACAACGATTGAATTGAGAATTGTTTCTATTGCTGCTGCAGTTGTTGCGGCTGCTGTACACTTGGTTGTAACATCCCGCTAAACGATGCTTGCGAAATTGACATTATCAGAGTATCGACATGGCTCGGAGTATTTGTTGTTGCTGCCTTTATTGCAGTTGCTGTGCTGCTTGACAACATAGATTGGGCCCACTGCCTTGGCCTCGGTCAATCTAACTTTCATAAGATCAGGGAACTGATGTTGATTCTGAATAAAACTATTGAGCAAACCGGCAGCCACGCCATTGGAAGCTGGAAATTAACTAGATGTCGCGTTCTTGAACACAGTGGTGGTCGTGAGATTAGCCTGGGACATTTGAGGTCGTCCAAATGGGCTGAGTCCAGGATTAGGGATTAGGCACCATATTGACGTTGAATTGATGTGGATTGCCCGTTCGGGCTAGAATCGGAAGGATTCCTTGTAGTTGTTACTGGATTTGCTGTTGGCGTTGGCTGTTCTCCTGCTGTGGGAACTGCATCCTGTTGTATTGCTGAATTGACCATCGCTGATATCGTTCCGAGTTTGCTCATACTTAGTGAATGACTTCATTTTGGCTTCAGTCGGGCAAATAGAGCCCAAATTCCCTGTGACGCCTTCTAGACGAGCTTCTAGTGACGACGGGAGTTGCTGCTGCTACTGTTGCTGTGTTACGTCTGCGGTTCCGTTTTTCCTCTACGTGATTCGATAAATCGCTCTTAGAATTTAGGTACAGATTAACTCAGAAAGAAAAGAATCTGATTCGGTTACTTCTCAAAAAATTAATTGAACCGTGTACAACTATGTGACGTGTATACATTTTACGGCGTATTCCAACGAGAAACAGACGATACAGAGTAACGCAATAAATTTCATCCTTGTTGTTTATCAAATGTTAAGTAAGAATCAAATGATTCACTGTATTCTTTTACTTGAAAAAAAAGTAATATTAATAATGACAGATTTGAGAATTGATTACAAGAATGTGACTTTAATGAATCTTTCGATGTCGTTGTAACTACGTACCAACTTCCTTTTGAAACTTGTAGATTTTCCCGACCTGCAGATGATAATATTGATAATATTCCGACCGGGAGTTAGCCTTAAAGTACATGTCACTTTCCACCTTCCTCACGAACGCGACGACCAAGTTGTGTATTCTTTTATGAACCATAGATTGTGAATCGGGATTCGGGAATATTGCTTGAATCCTGAGAAAAAAAGCAAACACACATGCTGGGACACGAGTTTCAAATGAGTGCGCGCTATTATGTATAATAAAAGTCTCACTAACAATTGATGAACATGATGGTTCCTGATATCTGGAGTGACGGACAGATGCCACTCCTTTGTTCCTTGCACCGGTATCGCTGTGACTTGACTGGATTGAAGACCGCCTGGAAACTGTAGATCCTGTAATCCATTTGGAATAACCTGTATACCGACAGCGGCCGCTGCGTCAGTGGCTGTAGGTCCGGTCGTTGATACCGTCTGATTGCCAGCTACCCCTACTATACTAGGATCGGAATTCAAAGGAAAAGATACGTTCGGCGTGACTACTTGTTGTCCGGCAAAGGCTACGGATTGTCCTGGTGCAACTAAAACACATGACGCTAATTGCTTGTTGTTTTTCGCGTAAAAATCTAAACAAATCATATTTTATATTTTTAACAGAATAAAAAAATAATATAATAAGATATATTTTTACATATGTATATACATTTTATAAAATGTTTTAAATTTGAGAAAAAATTGCAAAGCAGTTAAAAATGTGCAACTCACTCTGTGTCTGAGATTGCGCTAATCCAACGTTGCCCAATGCCCCTGGAGGACCGCCCATCATGCCGGGAGCTGGCATTCTAACGCCCCTACCAATGTCTTGACCGGGTAAAAGCCCCGGTGTTGTTGTCGGACACTGAATTCCTAAAGCATCATAAGCCCATCTCATTTTGGATGAGCTTGGATTTGGCTGATTATTTGGTTGAATTGCGGGTTCTAATAAAAATAATACATACAACATAAATATACATCGCCGAAATATTAAGATGTAAGATATATATTCTTGCACAATTACCTTGCGCAGAAATTGTCCCGTTCTGTGCTTGTTTTATCGGCAAGCAAATCGGACAATCACTTCGTTTACAATGCTTCCAATGACTGATGATCCGCCTATATATTCTACATTGAGGCACGGTGCAATTCTTTCCGGCTTGACAATTCGTCATGTGATTTAGAATATTTTTCATAGTTTTGCAGTCCGGCAAGGTACATTGTCTCATCTCGA